CACGTACCTACATACATAGCTGATATTAATTGACCCCTATACATAACGGATGCATACTCGCACTGAAGAAGCTGAGAAAGCGTGACACATAGCCTATTACCCTGTGAGCAGACACGTAGATACCGGAAAAGACCGAGCGAACGAAGCCAGCTTATGTGCGCTACGCATATCATTTGTCTATAGCGGGTCACAATCCTCCACATAGACCATGATATACGTATGTATTACACGCGCAATAAATATCTGCCTACTCATCAGTAACCAGCGATTACTCACACCTCGGCATTCTATAGCCATATCCGCACTATACTGATAACACTACACCCGCGCCATGTAAAAATTAATGACACAATTGTATTGGGTTGACAAGTGCAGGCCGGAGTGCTTACAATTATTATGTTAATTTTTTAAGGACATAATAATATAACGAGGGTGGTGTTACAGCCACCGGCGTGCGCGTGTACGCATGCAGTAGTGCATCTAGTGCAGTAGCGTTCGCACGCAGCGGCAATGAACGAGTACGTAATCACGCGTCTGAAATATTTACATTGTATAACGATGTAATATCATATGTGTACCAAATGATAATTACAGAATCGTTTATAATTAACGTAGGAGATGTGACACGGCGCAACGTTAAATATAAATAAAAAATCGAATGAACAGATGAAATGATATCCACCATGCCTTCATCAAACGTTAATCATTCACATTAATATTTGATAGTTACGGGGGTTATGAGGCAAGTATCTATGACACCCAGTAAATTATCAAAGATATGATTTCGGAGATGATAGCAATATCGATAGATTTCGTGGCAGGTGCTCTCCAATTCCCGTAATCCCGTACACGACGTAAGATAAACTAACAGTGTCTATTTGTGGTCTCTTGGTAATAATTTGTCTTGTAGTAATTACCTTTAAAGGTTTGCGGATCGCGTCTGTGAGCGAAGGTGAGCCACAGATCATACCATCTGGAACCATTCACCTATATCGTCAGTTCATGACTATAAAAAAACATAGATAAAAGCAGAGAGAGGGGGAGAGGGGGAAGAGAGATGGATAGATGAAAACAGTAATGGGGAGATGGCGACAAAGAAAGAGGTGAACAAAAAAAGAGAAGAGGGAAGAGCGAGACGAAGAGAAACTGCGCGATGGATACGGACAGAAGCACACACACAGCTACAGATACAGACACATATATTATATAGACATGGACATATACACGGATATATATGCAGGTATAACCACAAGCATATTCACAGACGTAAGTAACCATAGTCATAAATCAGACAGCATCAATGTCAAACGCAGGCAGAGATATATAGACAAACACAGCAACAGAGACCAATATAGAGAACAGCTTTATAGCGGAGGAGGCAGAAACAAACGGAAAGCGAGAACGATTCATACACGCGGAATTAGCGAAAGGTTATATCGGGATCACGAGATGTCTTTTGTTTTTCACGTTTGCGGTGCTCGGCGGCATTCTCTTTATAGTTATATGCCGACTCATTATTAAGAGTGTGGCTTCGTCTGCAAAGCTGACAGGCTCAACATTTAGGCCATAGTGCGTCGATTGTAATCTACCCATCCACCGCGCGTGGAAATGTGTGCATAATATTGTGTAGCGCCTGGCTCTATCTTAATTAACATTGCGCCATTACAACACAATTAAAAACTAATCTCACCATGGCAATGGCTGCCCAGACATGAATTCTTTATAATCAGCTTAGACGTTATCTTTAAATTATTAACATGACTGATACGATACGTGTTTAAAAGCGCTTTACACTTGCGTTAGTATCAGGAGGAGAGGCTGTCAGTGTGTCATCGGTCGTTACGGCTGTCTTTTTCTGAACCCCCCTCCACACCACCACCCGCGTCGTAATACGGTGCTTTAATCAGGATAGTGCACACTTAGCCAAAAGCAATAAGATTAAGATGATTAAATTGTCTACGAAAGTTTGT